AAATAAAGAGAAAGAGCACAAGAGAGAAATTTTACAATTGGGCCTCCAGGGGTACCATCACATATTGGTAGGACCATGATGGCTACCTCAAGCCATGAAACCAGCAAGTTTTTATTAGGGATTTTAGAAGGGGAGGGAGTGTACAAACAAAGAGTAAGTCACAAAGATCACATGCTTCAAAGGACAATTAAGATCACAAGGCAAGGCAAAATTAGAATTACTGATGAGGTTCTGTGTCCCGCTGTGGATGCATTGTCTTGATAAACATCTTAACAGAAAACAGTGTTCGAGAGCAGACTACTGGTCTGACTAAAATTTACCAGGCTGGAATTTCCCAATGCTAGTAAGCCTGAGGGCACTGTAGGAGACCAGGGTGTATTTCAGTGCTTATCTCAACCGCATAAGACAGACACTCCCAGAGAGGCTGTCTATAGACCTACTCCCAGGAAGGCATTCCTTCCCCAGGGCTATTCCTTACTGGAAAAAGAATTCAGTGATATTTCTCCTACATGCACATCCGTCTATGGGCTTTCTGCAAGAAGAAAAATATGACTCTATTCTGCCCAACCCTTCAGGCAGTCAGACCTTATGGTTATCTTTCCTTGTTCCTGAAAATCGCTGTTATTCTGTTCCTTTTCAGGATGCACTGATTTCATATTGTTCAAACACACATGTTTTACAATTTGTACAGTTAATGCAATCATCACAGGGTCCTGAGGTGACATACATCCTCAGCTTACAAAGATGACGAGATTAAGAGATTAAAGTAAAGACAGGCATAGGAAATTATAAGAGCATTGATTTGGTAAGTGATAAATCTCCATGAAATCTTCACAATTTATGTTCAGAGATTGCAGTAAAGACAGGCATAAGAAATTATAAAAGTATTAATTTTGGGAGCTGATTAATGTCCATGAAATCTTCACAATTTATGTTCTTCTGCCACAGCTTCAGCCAGTCCCTCCATTCGGTGTCCCTGACTTCCCTCCCACAACAGGGTTTGTCATCTTGCACCAAGAAAACTTAGGACTGAAACACACACAAGGAGTTTAGGAGTGGAGGTTTAATAGGCAGAAGAGAAGAGAAAGAGAAACAGCTTTCTCTCTATATATAGAGAGGGGTCTCCAAGCAGAAAAGACCCCATCCTTTTGTTTCTATAAACTTCACCAAAAACACCTCTGTCACCAGGCTGGAGTGCAGTGACATGATCTTGGCTCACTACAGCCTCCACTTCCCAGGTTCAAGTGATTCTCCTGCCTCAGCCTTCCGAGTAGCCAGGATTACAAGCGCATGCCACCAGGCCCAGCTAATTTCTGTATTTTTAGTAGAGACAGGATTTCACCATGTTGGCCAGGCTGGTCTTGAATTCCTGACCTCAGGTGATCTGTCCACCTCAGCCTCCCAAAGTGCTGGGATTACAAGCATGAGCCACTGCACCCAGCATTTTTAATGTAAATTCTTGGTAAACAACTCAGAAATTCCCTCTTCTTTCCCTTTGAAAACCCTCTTGTAACTGCTGCTAATTTATGGAGTATATATTCAGGCAACTCAAGTTGTAATGCTCCCAGGATGCAATCCTCAAGTTTGGCCCAGATAAACTCTCTACTGACACTAATTCTGCCTCAGTTTCTTCCTTTTAGGTCAACACTGCTATATTAGTCCATTCTCATGCTACTATGAAGAAATACCCAAGACTGGGTGATTTATAAAGGAAAGAGGTTTAGGCTGGGCACAGTGGCTCACATCTGTAATCTCAGCACTTTGGGAGGCTGATCACCTGAGGTCAGGAGTTCGAGACCAGCCTGACCAACGTGATGAAACCCCATCTCTACTAAAAATACAAAAATTAGCCAGTGTGATGGCAGGTGCCTGTAATCCCAGTTACTTGGGAGGCTGAGGCAGGAGAATCACTTGAACCTGGAAGGCAGAGGTTGCAGTGAGCGAGATGGCACCACTGCACTCCAGCCTGGGTGACAGAGTGAGACTTCGTCTCAAAAAAATAAATAAAATATAGCCGGGCGAGGTGGCGGGCGCCTGTAGTCCCAGCTACTCGGGAGGCTGAGATAGGAGAATGGCGTAAACTCGGGAGGTGGAGCTTGCAGTGAGCTGAGATCCAGCCACTGCACTCCAGCCTGGGCAACAAAGCGAGACTCCATCTCAAATAAATAAATAAATAAATAAATAAAATATAGGAAAGAGGTTTAACTGACTTATGGCTCCGCAGGGTTGGGGAGGCCTCAGGAAACAATCATGGCAGAAGGGGAAGCAAACACATCCTTCTTCCTATGGTGGCAGGAAAGTGAAGTGCAGAGCAAAAGGGTGGGTGGGGAAAGCTCCTTATAAAACCATCAGATTTCATGAGAACTCATTCATTATCATGAGAACAGCGTGGAGATAACCGCCCTCATGATTCAAATACCTCCCACTGGGTCCCCCACAACACGTGGGGATTATGGGAACTACAATTCAAGATGAGATGTGGATGGGGACACAGCCAAACCATATCAATTACTTACCCTACCTTGCCCATTGCTTGCTATGGAAAACACAATAAACACTCTTGCCCACATTTTCCCCCTCCCTCCACGTTCTCACAGACCTTGGTGCTTCCCCAGGTGGCTCTGCATGGTGCACCACGCCTCCATTTTCTAGAGATCTGTGAGGATAAGCTTCTTTCTTCATGACAGTCATTTCTGTGTCTTCCTATCCTACCATATCTGATTAAAACAAATCCTGGGTACCCTTAAAACAGGAACAATACCTTCAAAAAATTTGTTTATATACTCAATTTATTCTAATTTGAATTAGGTTGGTGTATGATGACAAACTCCAAGCAAAAGAGCATTTCTTCTGGACTCCCAGAAATAGCTTCAACAATACATTTGTATTTTCCCTAAAATGAAGTATAAGAAATACAAGTAATACAAAATGTTAGATGCTACTATTTCAGAGGCTTTGTAAGAACTTTCTCTTACTAGCAGAAAGCCATTTAAATTGGATTGATTTTATTAGTTTTCCAATGAGACAAAATTTTCCATGTCTTTGAATTAGATGAGCATAAGCCCATTTATTTCCCAATTATAAAATTATGTTATTTTTAAAAACTAACCTAAGAGGTTTTTAAATATTAGATATTAGTTTATAACAAAATAATGAAAGAATATGCATTATTACATTTTATTTTAAAATGGTCACCAAAAGTAAAATGCATAAAATTTCATTACTAGATACGTCATGCAAACATCTAAAATCACAATGGTATTATTCATCGAAGCAGCAATTATTTTTACAAAGGCATGGATGACCAGGCTAAGTTCCCAAGAAAATCTTGAACAAAATAAGTCTGTAATTTACGTGATTTTTATTCTCATAAACAATGTTCACATTATATTTAGTATATTACATGAATAGTTATAGAGATTTACTGGCTTATACACAGTGGTCATTCAGTGCTTTCATCTAAAGACTGTTCAACAGATTAGTAATGAGCTCTTGCATTCAAATTACTCTTGCCCATGTATGTTAAAGGGAAAAAATGAAGTGGAAAAAAATGCTATCTTTTGTGCAATTTTTCCATAGTCTACAGAAAGAAAAAATACCAAAAGACCTAATACTAAGGCTGTGCGCGGTGGCTCACACCTATAATCCCAGCACTTCCGGAGGCCAAGGCCAGGTCTCACTAACAACTGTTTCAGTACTGACCAAGTGGTTAAGTTAAATATTGAAAGCCAGTGCCCTTATACAAAGGATGGGATGTAAGAAAAGCCCATCAGGAGTTTTGGCCAGGCCTTTCCTGGGCCTTAAAGCATGACAAAATAACTGAGAAATTCTTAATAGGACCCATTTAGGATTAATCAAGTTTTATTGTGGGTCTGAAGAAACTCCCCAGGTTTCCACAACCAAGTTTATTGGGGGTCTGAAGGAACTCCTCAAACCTCCATGATTTATCAGGAGACAAGATAAAGGTAATCCCCCCAGCACCCAGACCCATTTAGATTAAGTAAAGTTACTGAGGCTCCAGAGGAAGGTCTTCAGGACTCAGACCTTAGTCATAGATTAAAAGAAGTTAATCACTTGTGTCTTCAGATGAATGCACACTTACACATAGACATATTCCTTAGAATGAACATAAACTCTGAAAGATTTGTAATTTTGAGTTGGTCTGACAATAATTTCCAGACCTTCTCCCTGTAACCAGTTGCAGAAATGAAAGCTCTCTTCCTCCCCAGTTCATCTGCATCTTGTTATTGGGCTGCAAGAAATGGCAGCCTGACCCTCAGTTTGGTCCAGGAACAGAGGTGGGTGGATCACATGAGGCCAGGAGTTTGAGACCAGCCTAGGCAACATGGTGAAACCCCATCTCTACTAAAAATTTTAAAATTAGCTGGGCATGGTGGCATGTGCCTGTAATCCCAGCTACTAGGGTGACTGAGGCACAAAATCACCTGAACTTGGGAGGCGGAAGTTGCAGTGAGCCCAGAACACACTTCACTCCAGCCTGGGCAACAGAGCAAGACTCAGTCAAAAAAAAAAAAAAAAACGCTAATTCTAAATAAAAGTGAAGGAAAAAACCTTGAACATCTTAATCTTGAATTGCTATTCATGAAATTGTCAGCTGGGCATAGCTGCCCACACCTGTAATTCCAGCACTTTGGGAGGCTAAGCGGAGTGGATTGCTTGAGCTCAGGAGTTCAAGACCAACCTGGGCAACACAGTGAAACTGCAACTCTTCCAAAAATACAAAATGTTAGCTGGCATTGTGGCACGCACCTGTAGTCTCAGCTAGTCAGGAGGCAAAGGCATGAGGATTGCTTGGGGTGGGGGTTGGTGGGTGGAGGTTGCAGTGAGCAGAGATTGTGCCACTGCACTCCAGTCTGGGTGACAGACTGAGATCCCATTTCAAAAAAAAAAGGAAGAAGTTGTGAATTGCTTGTTTCAAATGCTTAACATGTCTATTACTGCTAAAGGTTAGACAGTACAAAATAAATATTGAACAATACCTTAGAAAATTTTATTCCCTTGAAGGAGAATGGTACTGTTGTATTCACAGTCTCTGCAAACAAAATACAAAATACAAGACGTTATCGGTCACGGTTAGGTGAATTTTTTCTTGGTAGCATAGAGTACACCTTTATGGCATACACTTAACTACTGACAGAGGCAGTCCCAAGCAAAACTGTAGAAAAATAACAAACCTTTTTTACCCTGGCTACTATTCTCCTGTGGCTTCCTTTCTCTGCCCCTAAAGTCTCTCTGTAGACCTGCCCCTATCTTATCCCTTAGGGCACACAGACTGTTAAGATCTGCTGGTCTCAATAATGAATAAACGATGAACAAGCTAGTGCTAATATGCTTCAGACCAAGTTACACATGTGTATGTTAAACTAGTTTTCAGAGACATTGATGCACATTAAGTTGAGTATAATAGAGAATAATCTTTCCAAAGACACATGAGATATTTTGGAGGCAGCCAGAATACTGAAGCGCCTCCCAATTACACCACTGAGAAGCTCACGTTAGCTTCTGTTTAAGTGCATAGCCATGGGCCTGGCCCCACACAAGCTGTGGAGCACAGAGTCAAAAGTGCAGGAAAATCCACACCCTACTGTTCTAGTCAGAACAAAGTAGTGAATGTGATCTGATGGGGTAAAGATAGAAATACATGTTTTGAATCTCAAACAAAAGAAACAGTGGCCAAAAATATTTGTAATGTAAATAGTTAAATCGAAAACCATAATATTGTTCTCAGAAGTAAATAAATAATGTCTGCATGTATACTTCTAGTCTCACAAATAAGCATTTATTTATTTACTTCTGGGTGCATCCTTTTTTTGTTTTTGTTTGTTTGTTTGTTTTGAGATGGAGTCTCACTCTGTTGCCCAGGCTGGAGTACAATGGTGTGATCTCTGCTCACTGCAACCTCTGCCTGCCACCACGCCCGATTAATTTTTGTATTTTTAGTAGACACGGGGTTTCACCATGCTGACCAGGCTGGTCTCAAACTCCCAACTTCAGGCTATCCGCCCACCTCAGCCTTCCAAAGTGCTGGGATTATAGGCATGAGCCACTGCACCCAACTGTTTTTTCTTTTCTTTTTGTTTTTCTTTAAAGCAAATAAAGGGTGTATTATTATTATTATTATTATTATTATTATTATTATTGAGACAGAATCTCGCTCTGTGGCCCAGGCTGGAGTGCAGTGGCGCGATCTCGGCTCACTGCAAGCTCCACCTTCCAGGTTCACGCCATTCTCCTGCCTCAGCCTCCCCAGTAGCTGAGATTACAGGCACCCACCACTACACCTGGCTAATTTTTGTATTTTTAGTAGAGACGGAGTTTCTCTGTGTTGGCCAGGCTGGTCTTGAACTCCTGACCTCAGGTGATCTGCCCACCTCGGCCTTCCAAAGTGCTGGGATTACAGACATGAGCCACCACACCTAGCCAGGTGTATCCTTACTAAAGGAGTTGATACTTGAGGTGTTTCTTCTGCTCGGTAAAGTGATCATGTCTTCATAATCTTAGGATCTTTCATTCAAGGCCAATCCAATTCAAAACTTAACAATTCAACAACTATTTATTGAAAGCCTACTACCCACCAGGGCCTGGGAAGACAATGGTAGTACAACTCTGTCCCTTCTCTCAAAGAGCTAAAGTCTATTGAAGATATAGATATATAAGAAACCATTCCAGCTGTGAGCGGTGGCTCACGCCTGTAATCACAACACTTTGGGAGGCCGAAGAGGGTAGATCCCTTGAACTCAGAAGTTCAAGACCAGCCTGGGCAACATGGTTGATCCTTATCTGTACAAAATATAAAAAAGAAAGATGGGTATGGTGGTGTGTGCCTGTAATCCCAGTTACTTGAGAGGCTGGGGTGGGAGGATCACTTGAGCCCAGTAGGTAGAGGCTACAGTGAGCTGTGTTTGTACCACTTCACTCCAGCCTGGGTGACAGGGAGACCTTGTCTCAAAATAAATAAATAAATAAATAAATATTAAATTAAAATTAAAATTTTTAAAAAACAAAAAAAGACCCCCAAAATAATAAGAAGAAACCATTCCAAATACAATATGCAATGGGAAAGATGCAGTAAGGATAAATATAACATCTTCGTAAGAGTGATGGCCCTGGGGCCAGAACTGCTTGGGTTTGAATCTCAGCTCCTCTACTTGGTGTGTAACTTCAGACTAGTCACTTAATTTTTCTATGGCTCAGTAAAACGGTGATGGGTGATAACACATATCTCATAGAATTATCACAAGGGCTATACCAGTTAATACATGTTAAGTGCTAAGAACAATGCCTGGGACACAGCACTTATTAAATATTATTACCACTAAATATTACTTATAACGTTTAATATTATTCTTTCTCGCTTCTAGACCCTCCTTCCAATGGCATCTTGTGAATAATAACATATTCATACCTTGTGAATATTAATGCATTAATATATTAGTTATATATGTATATATTATATAACAATAATAGGCTCTATCTTATTAACTTGCTAGTTTCTTTGAGAGTATTTTTCACAAATTGAATCATATTTCATTTTTCTCCTTTTTTTTATTTTATTACTTCATTAGGATCTTGTTTTCTCCACTAGCCTGTAATTTCTGTGAGGACAGGGGTTTTGCTTTGGACATTTTTGAATCTGGCTCCTAGTACCTACCTAATTCTCAGTACCCAGCTTCAGGACCAACTATTAGGTTGTTGTAAAAGTAATTGCAGTTTTTGCCATGAAAAGTAATGCAATACATCATTACATAATTAAATCCATAATTTGCAAGGCCCAGCACAAAATGACGATATGAGGCTGCTTATTCAAAAGATAGGGGAAACCTGTTAAAGTTACTAGAACATAAAACTTTTCCTTTCTTCTATGTGTTTCTCTCTCTAGACTTGCCATAATGTTTTTATTGCAATTTAATATCATTTGTAATAAAGAGAACATTTTAAACTATTAGTATGAATTTCAGTATTCATCTTCTTATAATACAATGCCAGTTTTAAATGCAAATATCAAAGCATTTAACTTCAAGGTAGAATCACTGAAATTACACAATTTGTCTTTCCCTGCTCATCCCCAGGGGGTGCCTCAAGCGGAGCCAGCCAGAGGAAACTAACACAAGCCAGAGGCAGGAAGTTTGAACGGAGAAAGAGAAGGTCCCCAAGGCGTGGAACAGCCTGAGGGAACGCCCCCTCAGCAAGCAGCACAGGTGAGTGTAGAAACACCCAGGGGCTCCTCCACGACTGGGGGCTCCTGTGCAAGCTTTGGCCTGAGAGCTGCCTGTCAGGGTCCTCCTTCCACAAACTGCTAGATGCCCTATGCACCAGTGAAGGGCAGAAAGTCCAAGCAAGTACCTTTCTTTCCCACAGGCCTGCTATTCAACAGTGACTCTCAATGCACTGCAATCTCCATGCAATACCTCCACACACTACCTGTTTTGGGGTGGGGCAGGGGATGGTGTGCCCAACTAGTCAGCTGCTGAACAGGGCCATGGCGCTGCCAGCCAAGGTAGGGCAGCCACTGTCATGCCCAAGCAAGATACTGCAGGGCACCCACACCAGATCCTGACCCTCCCTGTAGCCAGGATTTCACCAGGAGCAGAGGTTAGCAGGTGGCACTGGACAGAAGAGGGGAGAGGATCCCAGGGTGCCAGCAGGGAAGTGGGCAGCGAGAACCAAGAACCAGTCCAGGGAAGGTGGGTTCATACCCCATCGTCTCATTAGATTTCACTTACACAAAACACACACTCAAAAATAAAATTATTAAGAATTTCAAGATTATGATCACAGGGCATTAAACCCCAAGCACAGGGCCCTTCTGTATATGGGGCCCTGGGCTCTGGTCATGAAGCCAACTCTGTCAACTTTGTGGAAGGGGTGGGGGAGGAAGACGGATGAGACTTGAGGATTTGAGAAAGAAATTAAGAACAACCCCTAGACCAGGTGTGGTGGCTCACGCCTATAATCCCAGCACTTTGGGAGGCCGAAGCGGGTGGATCATGAGGTCAGAAGTTCGAGACCAGTCTGGCCAACATGGTGAAATCCTATCTCTATTAAAGATACAAAAAATTTGTTGGGAATGGTGGCATACACCTGTAATCCCAGCTACTGGGGAGGCTGGGGCAGGAGAATCGCTTGAACCAGGGAGGCAGAGGTTGCAGTGAGCCGAGATTGTACCATTGCATTCCAGCCTGGGCAACAGGACGAGACTCTGTTTCAAAAAAAAAAGGAACAACCCCTAGTTTTCTATTTAGGGAGACTGTCTTAACACTTAGCAGGTCAGGTAGACAGACGGAGTTCTAACCTCCTCTGTTGGATAGACCTCTTTTTCAATTGCTTTGTCGGTCTTAGAAAGCTGTTTTTATGTTTTTCTTTTTTTGAGACTGGAGTCTCACTGTGTAGCCCAGGCTGGAGTGCAGTGGTGGGATCTTGGCTCACTACAACATCTGCCTTCATTCAAGTGATTCTCCTTCCTCAGCCTCCCGGGTAGCTGGGATTACAAACATGTGCTACCACACCCGTCTACTTTTGTATTTTTAGTAGAGACTGGGTTTCACCATGTTGGCCAGGCTGGTCTGGAACTCCTGACCTCAAGTAATCCACCCACCTCGGCCTCCCGAAGTGCTGGGATTATAGGCGTGAGCCACTGCACCTGCCCAGAAAGCTCATATCTTGCTCATACCTTCCATTCTTTTCTTTTCTTTTTTATTATACTTTAAGTTCTGGGGTACATGTGCACAACGTGCAGATTTGTTACATATGTATACATGTGCCATGTTGGTTTGCTGCACCAATTAATTCATCATTTACATTAGGTATTTCTCCTAATACTATCCCTCCCCAATCCCTCCCACCCCATGACAGACCCCGGTGTGTGATGTTCCCCTTCCTGTGTCCAAGTGTTCTCATCGTTCAGTTCCCACCTATCAGTGAGAACATGCAGTGTTTGGTTTTCTGTCCTTGTAATAGTTTGCTCAGAATGATGGCTTCCAGCATCATCCATGTCCCTACAAAGGACATAAACACCTCCTTTTTATTGCTGCA